CTCTCTCTCTCTCTCTCTCTCTCTCTCTCTCTCTCTCTCTCTCTCTCTCTCTCTCTCTCTCTCTTACTCTGGGGTTTGTGTGTGTGTATGTGTGTGTGTGTGGTGTGTGGTTGGTGTAGCTTGTAAACTCAACTCCAAAAAGCAGGTGACTGCGACAGGCTGTTTCATTGGACTTTCACCTACTCATGTGTGTTTTATATTTGCACCACAACAGCCCCTGTTCCACCCAGATGAGTAGATCGAAAATCGATGCAGCTTTACCTCTGTTGCAGGCAATAAAACAGTTCTAGAATGGCACGAGAGGTCAGTCAATGTTTGGTCTGCAGGAGATATAGTGTCGAGGAGCAGTCGTTGCCTATGGTAAGTGGCCATGTGTGTGTGTGTGTGTGTGTGTGTGTGTGTGTGCGTGTGTGTGTGTGTTTCTTTGTATGTTTACATGTCTATATCTGTGCCATGAACCCTCAAATTTTCTTTTGCAAATCCTGAGAGTAGCGTGCACTAATGTAGCATCAAATCTAGTCAAGCACAAGGAGGTGAAGAATGGAGAGAAGTCCGAACATAGAGGCAAGTAATACAAGACACATGAATTGCAACAGTTGACTGCCCCCCTATTCGCTGCTCCTCCTGCAGTTTGTACCAATCGAATAGCCATTGTGAGTTGTGGGGGAGCATCTCGAAACAAGCCAGAATGCTTGCAGCAAAGATTGCAGTGCGGGTGACGTGGCAGACGTATATTTGAGGACCCAATCTCCTCATGGATGATGTTATGTTGTGATCAGGGACCTTTGGAAGGGTGGTCACACAAGCGCAAATGGTCTTAACCGAGACGGGTGTAACAATTGGGGTTGTAGTGAGGGACAGGCATGACAAGTATCGGTCCATCCACGGGACTCCTTGGACAATTTCACACACGACAACAACAGCAAAAAGAAAGGCAAGGGAGGCTGTTGGGCTGCAGAAAGTACCTACAACGAAGGGTGCCACAACAACAACAACAACAACAACAACGACGACGGCAACGGCGACGACAACGCTGCCACTGTCGCCGCCGACGGCAACGACCACAACCACCAGGGGTCCACCACCAACCACAACCACAACCACCACCAACCACAACCACTAACCACAACCACCACCAACCACCAACCAACAACAACCAACAACGAACAATGACGAACAACAACCAACCACAACCACCAACCAACAGCCACAACCAACCAACACCACCACCAACGACAACAACAACAACAAATAACAGCAACAACAACAAATAACAGCAACAACAAACAACCAACAACAACCAACAACAACCAACAACAACCAACAGCGAACAACAACAACCAACAACGAATAACAACAACCAACAACGAACAACAACAACCAACAATGAACAACAACAACCAACAACGAACAACGACGAACAATGACAAACTGCAACCAACAACCAACAACCACGATGACCAACAACCACAAACAGCAACAACAACAACAATCAAGGGGGAATTTTGGACAGCAGAAAGTACTTGCAATGGAGGGTTAAGAACAAGCGGCCAATTGTAGTGGCCGCAGTCTTTTCTCTTGGAACAACTGTGATTTGACGATAAATGGGTGCGATGGATATGTAATATGTATGCCAATATCGTTTGGTATTGCAGGTGGAGTTATTGCTGAAGAATCGTGCAAAAATGATTGAAACGGGGAAGGGTGTCGACTGGGCCATGGCAGAGGCACTGGCATTCGGGTGAGGCATAATTTCAGGACTCATTCCCTAGCCCATTCTATTGCGTTTCTGTTTGTGCACGTCCGTTAACAAGACAGTCTCCGACTCTCCGTTCGATTTGGTGAACCTCCTAAGTTCTTAACCAGATATCGACTTTTTTTATTTCTCCTTGGTTCTCTGTAATTCCCCCTTGAAAGAACCCTTCTGTGCCTTGCCCGTAGTCCAAGAGCCGCTCATTTAAGACACAAAAGTTCGGAGCTTGCAAACCCATATTGTGTTTCTGGTTGTGCACATCCGTTAACATCGGAAACGACTCCAAGAAAATTAGCATGGCAGCCATGGCCCTAAAGCCGCTCCTCTGGGGAAGCTGATTGCAATTCAATCATCTGGTGGCTTTGAGACGTCCTGACTTTTTTACTCCAAGCATTAGATGACCAAAATGCTCAAGTTTATTTTCTGGAAACTGATGTTGAGATTTTGTCTGATGCCCTAGCCCACATCTCATTCATCTCAGTTCCCACTCTCCTTCTTGGCCCTCCTTATTTCATGGTTCCCCTCCTGAAGGTATTGTGCCATCACCACTTGGCACGGAATCGAAGGGTGCGGAAGAGGAATAGTACACGCCACTTCGGCGCCGAAGGCATCGCGAACGGTAAGAGTCCGCCGGTTGAAGTTGACCGTGTGATCCGCACTTACAAGCCAAGGAAATCCCAAAATAATGTCGAAGTCCATGTTCTAAATGTCAAATGTCACCGGTTCGACACCCCTAACTTGACCCAGTGCAAATCACCAATGAAAGACTATTGTCGCTTCTCCTTCTTACCATCCCAATCACTCCACTCAGCAGTTTGCCTGAACTTTTTTTTTTGCTGCCCTATTGGCTGCTTATCACTATTTCGGAAGTTTTCCCTGTTTGCCCTCAATGCTTCTGCGATCAGAGGGTGTTGTTCTGAAGGAAGGAAGGAAGGAAAGAAGGAAGGAACGTTCACACCATTGCAAAAAGAATTCCATGAAGATTCCCATGATACTTCAGGTTCTCAGGTCCCAGCCTCGCACGAACCACCATGTTCGAGGTGTAATCTTCACGCCATCGCAAAAAGATTCGCAATTCCTTGGTGACTTTTTCAAGTCAAATCTGAAGACTCATCAATGGTCTCTTTTTTTTGGACACTTGGGTGGGAAATGGTCTGGTGGGGTTTGTGACAAGTGGAAAAAAAAAAAAGAGTAAAACGCAGTAAATACTAAAAAGTACTAAAAACATGTTCTTTGCGCCTCGACTCTCTCTTTTTTTCTCCCCTCCCTCCCAGGCTCCCCCCCCCAAAAGGACATGACCAGGGCCAAGGCTCCTTTCATTCTCAGAGCCATCGGTATGTTTACTACTTTGCTGCCCGGTGACCTGGATAACACTTGCAGTTTTCTCAGCCCATTAAAGCACCGGTACAGCACATATCGGCCCGCGGGTGTCAGCATGAAAAACCCGCACCACTTCGGAGGCCGCCAATTTTTTTTTTCAATGGCGGGCCTGTCCGCGCGGCACCTCCGAGTTTTGCTTGTGGCGACAAAAACTTTCTGCAAGGCTGGGGCTGTGTACTAGCGGTTTAAGGCCGCGGGAAATATGACGCCAGAGAAAGGCATCACGATTTCCCATCAGTCCTCCACTCGCAAGCTTGCAACTTTTTTGTGAACTCCTCCTTTTCAAAATCAGGAGACGAGGAATTCCCCCTGACCATAGCCGTCTTTGCTGCTGTTGTCTAACTGTTACTCCCATATTGAATGCAGGTCACTGATGATGGTTGCCAATCCTGAGCTGGGGCAAACACCTGAGACTTATCCACACTACTATGTTAGGCTGAGTGGCCAGGACTGTGAGAGAGGGACCTTCAATCAGCGCCATGCTGTCTTGTATGACCAGAAAACGTCAAGGAGGTAGGTGTCTGTGGTGCCTGCTGTTCAACCATTTCTGGCTGGCTATCCCAGGCTTTTTTCTTCTAAACTTCAACTTTGATAATTCATCCTAGGAATTTCTTTAATTTCGGGTGGTTGGGGAGAGGGCCGACTGGGCAGGGAGGGGCGTTTACTCTATTGTTCGAAGAACTGAGGTTGGGTTGGGGACTCTAACAAGCCGATTTTCTTTGAGTTTTCTCTTCTTGACCTTCACAATTTCTCCTACACTTTCCTCCCTAGGTAGAAAATATCCTCACCGCTGGTCAGGCAAAGGAACAGGAATCTTGCAAGAGGTGAGTTTGATGTGCAAAAGCCCTTCTCATGGTACATACTCTGCCATCCCCTTTCCCAGGTTCTTTGTACTCAATGGAATACTATGTTATGAGCCTCGAGGTGTTAACCATGTACAGCTGGCTATGTTTGCATCAGTTGCCCCCAAGTATTATTTTCAGTTATTCCCTTTTGTTTGGGCTCTCAATGATCCGTTGCAGGACTACAAGGGATCTCTAGTCTTTTCCACATTCTTGATTACTTACAAGAAGAAGTCCCAAAGCAGCTTGGCACGGCAAAGCCATACAAAGAGGCTTGAAACGAGGGTATGGCGAGGGCCATAGTTGGGCCTCGCTCTAGGCAGGGTGCAGCCAGCAGGGAAGGGGTACGAGAAAGTCCAACGAAAATTCAGCAAATAATGCAGAAAATTTCCAAAGACTCCTGCGTGACACCCTGCTAATTAATGTTTGCCTGTCAATGACCGCTCCAGCCGAACATCTGTGACACCGGCCTATAGACTAAACTTGGCATGCCTAGCTACTGCACTGGTACTTGCGCTACACAGGACTTGGAACTGAGACTGCAACAGGGCATTGATACTCGTGAAATAGTTTCAAGTTTCCAATTTACCCTCAGGCCTCAGCCTCACATTCTATTTTCCATAACTTGCAGCAGGACTAAAGTCAAAAAGCAATTGCATACAAGTACTACAAAGTCTAGTATCTGCAACCAAATCCTAAGACGAACGTGCTATTCGCAGAAAAGGCAAACTGTTGTGAAGTATGGTACGTCTCCCTGGACCAAACAAGTCAGGCTGGGAACAGATCTTGTCCTTTGCGAGTCCATCCTTGCACTACGTCCTGAATGTGGCTCTGTTCTTGCTTGGTCTTCATCATGTGTGAACCAGGTATGGCTAGAGCCATTGAATCTTCAAAGATGCCTGAGAAGCCAGTCCCCCTGGCAACTTCAAAGTTCAAACCCCTTGCCAAAAAATTGCGAGTGTTGATATTGACATTGAGTTCACCAACTCCACCTGTGTTTGTGATACAGGTATGTGCCTCTGAATAACATCGCGAAAGAAAGGCAGGCGACGTTTCTGATCTGCAACTCAAGCCTCTCTGAGGCAGCGATCCTGGGGTTTGAATATGGCTTCAGCCTTGGCAACGAGGATGCACTTGTTCTCTGGGAAGCGCAGGTTGAGTCCCTGCTAACTCTGTGTGTGTGTGTGTGTGTGTGTGTGTGTGTGTGTGTGTGTGTGTGTGTGTGTGTGTGTGTGTGGTTGCTGAACCAGAAATGATTTTTCCTGAACAGATTAGAAAGACATGCACAAATATAATTCGGAGAAGTAAGTGCTGGGGGATGCTGCTGTACTGGAAAAGTTTAGCTAGTGCAATACCTGTTGGAAGAGGGGACAAAGTAACTTGGATTCTCAGTGTATAATGCAGCCTTAGAGTGAGGTTCAACCTGACCCATCTCCCTCCTCCCTGTTTTTTTTATTACTTATCCCATTCTCAAAAACTGGGCTACCCCTCTGTGGGGCCGGCCACGTACCATAGGCAACGCCTGCTCCACAACTCAAAATTCCCTCGAACCCAAACACTGTCTAGCCTCTAGTGCCATTCTATAGTAGTCGGCTCTGGCGGTAAGTACTGAGAACCCTGTGAAGTATGTCTTTCCTCTATTCTGAACTCCTTCCCTTCGCCCTTTCTTTCCTTCCCCACCCCACCCCCTTGTATGAAAAGAGAGAGAGAGGGAGAGAGAGAGAGAGAGAGAGAGAGAGAGAGAGAGAGAGAGAGAGAGAGAGAGAGAGAGAGAGAGAGAGAGAGAGA